TGTCAATACTAGCACCAAGCAATAATACAACAGCAGGTGAATTGTCAACGAGTTAGGACAGGGGCCACCGTTCTACGTTTATATAAATTTGCAAACGGAAAAAGTGTCACTACGAAACATGCTGGGTCTTACCGAAGGCCTGTGGATGTCCAAAACAAAAATGTGAAAATAAATTATAGTCATCCCTTCTCCAGTGTCTATGTGCTGGTCATTCGTTTTCCGAATCCTCCGAACGAGTCGTCATCGCCGCAGGACAGATGCTGCATGGCTATTGGTCGGTTCCCTGGTTCAGCTAGAACAAACCGGTGGTGGTTTTATTTTCCGATATTGCCTTGACTGCAGCAAATCGGGCAGCGGATTTCGCGGCAGTGACCCCTGATTCTTTGATGATAAAGAACCAGACACTGCTCTCCATTTTCTATGTGCAGAATACGTACATGCACCTGGCTGGGAGAATGTGGCCCGTAACAGCACGAGACATGTTCTGTCGGGCCACAGCTCGATTAAAGGGAATGCTCCACATTTGAAGATATTGAGGTAGGCATCAGATATGATGGGAAAAGCTTACTTGTAACTATTGGTAAGCTTTCAAGGTTCAAAAACGAATCTAAGCAAAACTTCGAAGTTTGTAAAAATGCGCCCCATTACGTCATTGTTTGGTGGCGTCATGGAATGGTTCTGCGACGACAGTAATACTTGGCAGCATCTGGCAGCCAGACCTAAAGAATACTTCGGAACACACGAAAGCTGATGCCAAATGGTCATTCTCGTCGCGGGGGTTGTGTCGAGTAGCGGAGTAATCGGTGGTTTGTTCATGTTTTTTTTTTTGTCTTGGTGCTGGCCGTGAGAAAAGCTTTGGTGGACTGTTTGACATACGCAACGTAGCGATCGCCAGCTTTTATGGCAGACTATTAATATCAAAGTACGATATACTGTGCTGCTGCTGTTGCTGCTGTGTTGTTGATCATTTTGTCAAAACTTTATTGTCGACCCATCGTTGCCTGCAGTGCTGTAGTTCTGACATTGATAACATGCGATGTGCACAGTAGTTACTGTCTTTATTGTTTGTACCTGGAAATGCGGTGCTATGCGAAAATTAATAAATTTGTAACGTTGCTATGAATTGATCGCCGAAGTATTGCTATTGCTATGGTAAAGATGGTAAGGTTGGGCCACC